CTGCAACTTAACAAGACGCAAGTTGGCCTCACATGGAGTTCTGTCCCCATCTCTGGGCTGGGGCTCCCCAGTGCCATCTTCTTACACTTGACCGCATCCAGCGCAGAGCGGCCCGAATTGTCGACTGAGTGCTTTCCGATTGGCTCGATTCACTGGCGCCGCGAAGAGATGTTGCACCCCTTTACGTTTTCTCTCACATCTACCCCAGGGATTTCTATGAGGAATTGTTCGGATTAATCCCAGCCGCCAAATTTTATGAACGCATATCGCGACAAAGCTTTTAATACCATCTATAGCATCTGGAGGCCTGGTGGTCCACCACCGCATGTTTCACTAGGAGTTTTCTTCCACGTACGACCTCTCTTTGGAATAGTTTAACACTGGCGATTTTCCGGACCGATACGACTTAAGGACCTCCAAGAAAAGAGCTTACTCCTTTCTAAAAAGGCAGGCAACGCACCTGCATTCTCCTGGTGTAGAAGTTGTTCATGGGCGGCGGTAATCACTTAATATCCAATGAGCCGTATGCTTGTTGCTATAAAAATGCCCAGCTATTTAATATTCTGCATCTGCTACAGCTTTTCTTACAACTAATCTAACTAGATTTTAAAATGAATTAGAAACTAGTGACATAATGTATTAATATTGTAAAAAAAAAACTAAAAAGAATAACATAATTACCAAATATTAGGTTCTAAAGTTGGTGCTCAGACATAAGATCGATGAATTAATGCCTCGACTTTAGAAGCTATTATTTGTTCCATTTCGTTTTTGAAGGCGATTCTTAATTTTCATTAAAGTTTATTTTTTACCCTTTTGTGTGCACTGAAGAATAATAGCACAAGAATGTTGCTGAATAATTACATTAAAATCTCCATTCCCTATAATTCAACCTTTTAGAAAGCATTTTTTCTACAAATTTATTTCACAAATTGAAAAACTGCAACATTTTGAAAGTCGCCTAAAATAATAATTATTTTTATTACTTTAATTTCTTGTTAGTTCGTTGCAAACTATAAGTAAAGAATATTCAGATTCATTTACTTAATTTTCGCTAGTAAAGATCAGCTTCATGACTCTCCTTGTGTCAGGGTTAATACATTATTCAGAAGCCATAATTTTGGTTGTAATCTAAGCTGTACGTTTTATCGCTCCATCAAACCCTTGTTACGAGTACATAGAACGGAATTCATATGAGTTGACCGCACGGAAGCGATATCCACAAACAAACTGTGACTTTTCATCTTTGTTCTTTACTTTAATTATTACAATTGTGTAGTGTACTCGTAAAATATTCAATTTGTTCTGGAGCGCATTTCTTCGAGATGTAATTTCATTAATCGTCATGTAATGATCTACACACTGACTATCATACAACCACTCCTGCCTAAGTAAACACGGTCTTGATCCACCTGCATGCATCGATTTCCTGCATCTTTTGCCAGGTCGTGCCGTCACTTCATATAGTGAGAGGTCACCCAAAACTTGTCTTATAACACTTAATAATATAAAATGATAACATAAATATGAAATATCACGTCTTGACAATCATCAAAGTTTTTAATTGGATCTCTATAAATTTTAATCCATTAAGTCTTTAAATCAAATCATTAGGTGGGTCCACATGTTTCAAACTTTAAACTATTGATGTTAAGGCTTCGGTATTTTAAATCTGTAACCGTGACTAGATTTGTACCTTTGGCTTTAAGCCAGGTTGAACTTACGATACGCATGTGAATATGCTTTAAGCATATATATAATCCGATATCTTTTATTTAACTTAAAAGTTTAAATAAAAGTTATCGGCTTACATGCCAATAGTTAACCCGAGTTTAATTGATAGAATCAGGCGTTACTTTGCGGAAATCCATTATAATGAAATAAAAATATAAATTTTTTCGCAACCTTCCGCTAAATAAAAACAATGATGTGACCGCTAAGCGGCCAGCCGCCGTAGAGTCTACATTACCTGAAGATGCCTCGTGTAGAGGCGAAACACGTGTCGTATTATCGTCGATGGTGTGTCTTACCTGGAATAGTGGTGTTGGGAGTAGTGGTGCTGGGACTAGTGGTGACGGAGTTAGTGCATGCAATTGAGGGAGGGCGGGAGGTGCTCTTCAATCCGGGTAAGACACATTATTGTATTTATTTAGCGGAAGGTTGCGAAGAAATTTATATTCTTATTTTATTATCCTGAGTTTATATACACGACGTAAACTTCAGTGTATTGCCCGATTTTGTTGATAATTGTCGACTGAGCAGAAAAATATTTAACGGCTTTATAGTGCAGTGGCAAATATCTGGCTGCGGCGCAACCTAACGCAGGTTAACTAGACAACATATGAAACTTATGATAACTATTTTTTTATTAAAGTACAGTAATATACTATATGACAGATATGTACATAAGCAGCACGGTAAACACAAAGTGCCAATCAGTGTGATGGTTATAGCCAATATACTCAGCTTTTCTTTATAAAACTGAAGTAACAAACGAAATTACTCTCCATCTGATGGTAAGTGGCTGCTGGTACTGCAGCCCATGGACCAACTTCAAAAGACTATAAAAGAGCTATCATCCCTAAAGACTGAGACGGAATGCCTCAGCTTGTAACTATACTGGCTATGCCTTTCAGACCGGAATACGATAGTGCAAGCTCTCTATTTGGTGACAGAAGTAGATAAGAAGTTTGTGCCTCTCACAAGAACACCTGGTATCTGATGCTTTTTACTTATAATGAAAAATATAAAAAAATAGGTCTGGATTAAGTACATTGTACAAGTACAGGTACGGCCTGAACATAAAGAAGTGCCCCTCTATAAATTTTTGCTCCACGTAGGATGAACATACTATGTCCTTTGTCCTTTAAAAACGGCGTCGTCTTGTTGTTAAGGTTAGCAGTTACAATTATTAGCCTTCGGCATATGAAATGTCTAAGACTAATAATAATTGTAACTTGGATTATAGTTTGATTGTAGAATCAGGGTGAATGGACGTTTGCTGGGCATTTTATGATATGCTGCCATTTCATCATTTAATCTATAATTTATCCCAATACTACCGACTTTGAGCATGATTTATATAGATTATAAATACTCGCGACTTTAGTGTGGCCCCAGGATCAACCACATCTTAACCTAATGTCCTTAGTATTTCTGAAAATACTTTATAAAGTTAAGTTTGTATAAAAATACAGTAACATTGACTGGTGGTAAAATTGTTAAAATATGGTCTAGGTACCGCTTGTAAAATTTTGGATTTACATGTAAAATTAAAAGTAAGAAAAGCCTTCTTCTCAAAGTCCTACATGAATTTATCGATGGTTTTGAGAGATATAGGTAAGCTCATCGCCAGACCATCTACTTGCTTGTCCAGATAACAAGTTGTGAGGCAATGTCTGAGTGATACTGAATATTTTGCAGGCATGTTATTTCTGCTAGAGTCTTAGTCACAATTGAGATTCAATCTTCCAATAGGTAGACATGTAAATAGTACCTGAACATCAAAGTTTTGCTGTCAGCAAGATGCAGGTTTTTATCTCGTTGACAAAATTGTATGAATCCTATGTATTTGCTTTTGTGTGTCCTCGCAGCAGTGACAGTATTTCTGTCAAGTGTTAAAGTAAATTTATACGTTGGTGAATCAATTTGGCTCACTATTGGGCGTAGCTGAGCGTTTGATTTGTGCATTTTGGGTAACCTCGGTGGTTTGGTATTGTTAATTATACGTAGATATTTATCTTTTCAGAGTATTTCTTAATTAGATCGCTCGTTGTTTTAAGCACTTTAGTTGTAGAGTTTGTTTGATATCCTTTTTATATGAACTTTCGTTTGACAAATGTTTTTGTAATTTAAAATAACAATCTGCCGTATCCATTACTATCGTAGCATTTATTTTATTCGTGGAGATACGGGTCAGTTGCATAAGTTGTTCAACGCTTAATTCAATGTCGACATACGTAAGTCATAGCTCTAAATTATCGGCTAAGTCATGAAATGACGAAGTGTAATAAAATGCCCAGGTAGATAGCATTGGCCAATTACACAACCGATACCTACGATTTTTCAATACGCTACTCATAAAGGTACATTAATAAGCCTATTAAATGTATTATATATAATATTAATATTTAATAAAATAAAGATATTTATTACAAACTTAGCACATACGAACTATAATTATAGAGACAAAGTGTAGGGTTACAACAATTTGTAATCATGTGAGAAAATACCCTAAATGATATTACTTGGTAGTGTCGTATTTTTTCAATACAACATATAACCCTTATCAAAATGAGAGCAACACGGAAATCTTCTATTCTGTTTCCATATTGTATAGAACACAAATGCTGAATTATTCAATTGCTTACACGATACTACATAATGTCGAAGGGCTTCTTCGTACCCTGATATGTAGGAGTACAAAATCATTTACGACTAATAGGCAACCCGTCGTAAACGCTTTTGTCCAATTTTAGTTGAAAAGAAGGGCATTACCATATTGCTTTCTCACACTTCTGTCATATTTGTATCCAAATCATTTTATGATCAAATTTAAATTTAACATTTAGAAAACCGTACCACGCATTAACCTTCAACCCCCTAGCGGTCTCATTAGACCGCCGCCATATTGCGTCAAATCCCTAGCGGTCTAATGAGGTCGCACCACCCCCACAGCACTTTAACCCATAAAAACTTATATATAGAGATTAATTTTCTATGAAGAAGTTTGGTATTATATAATCAATATGAAATAATAATAATAATAATAATAAATAATATAACATGGCGTAGGGAAGTGACGACCCCATCGCCCGTTGACGTGACGGTTATGTGACAAAACCGCTACGTCCGCGCAGTCAGTCAGCACCTTGCCAAGAGGTGTGAGCGCCGTGCCTCGGCAAAAATTGATGGTGCAAGGGCCCGCTTGTGCATATGGCCTCACCATGAAACGGCGCCGGGTCTGGGCGTCTCCCGTTAAATGACGCCCTGTATGGATGATGGAACATAGAAGATTGCGCAAAGGGCCGCTGCCTGGAGGTCGTCAGGGCGCGTCTGGAGCTGGCGCTGGACGCGACAGCATGCGAACCGCCAGCCGAGCGCGAGGTGCTGCACGACCACCCAGCAGCCCCTCGCATCCATTATCCCCACCAGCTTGCTTGGTGTCGGCAGGGTCTTCGCAGGCCCAGCAATCGGCACCCGCCACTGGTGGAGTACGCCGCATGCGATGGACCATCAATATGAATTCAAACGCATTGCGGGCGTATTTTAGGGCGAAAGGGGGAGAAATTGGAGGTTTCGCGTATCGGGCTAGGATGCATCGTCTTTTTACTGAGCTGGAGCCATCTATTACTGTCACCGAGCAAAACCTGGCAGACCGAGTTCGGTATATCTTACGCTCAAATATATTTGATGGCGCCGAACTCGAACGGCTACGACGTGAGGCTGTTCCCTCATCAAATGAAAACGCTACGACTGAGGGTGCGGTGCCACAAGTTGCAGAACAACCCGCACAGGTGGATGCCGCCGAGAATACCCCAGTGGTTGCTGATTCAAATGATGATGGAACATTCACCCAGGAACTAGAAATAGAGCAAATGAGGAGTACATTGGAAGAGGCGATTATGGAAACGCGCAGTACGCCTCTCGAAAATCGACCGCGACTTCCCCGCATAGCCCTAAGCAAGCGGAATCGGGCTGTCGTGAGGGCTCTGAACCCAATGCTGGTGACCTATTTGGAAGCCAGCCGGGACCTTTGCGAGACGGACTCAATTCTCTTTGGCGCCGCGCTGGCAGTCTGCCGTATTATAGGCGCCAAGGTTTCCACGGCTGGACGCGCTACTGGCCAAAGTAGCGCTATCCCAGCATGGAGAAGAAGAATTGAGGAACGTATCGCAAAGGCTAGAGCTCTCATCGGCAGACTGATATGCTTCAGATCAGGCAACAACAGGCCAAGAATTGTGCGCACCGTCAGGATGGCGTTTGCTGGGACAAATGTCAGTTTGTCCCAGCCGGATATAACGCAAAAACTGACGGAGCGCATAGATGATCTGAAGCAGAGAATCGCTGCTTGGGGAAAGCGGATTCGGCGATATACCGAGAGGTCGACACGGTTCAACCAGAATCGTCTCTTCCAGAGTGATCAGAAGAGGCTCTATGAATCATTGGAGCGACCAATGGTAAGTGGAACGGGCCCGGCACCGAATCAGGCCGAGCCACTGTAGCATTCTGGCGCGGCCTGTGGTCAGAGCCCGTAAACCACAGCGAGGGCCCTTGGACGGAAGTTGTGGCGAGTCAGTGTGCGGGTATTACGCCCATGGACCCCGTCATTATAACGCCGGATGACGTAGCTGAGGCGGTTCGTAGGGCCCCGAACTGGAAAAGTCCGGGACTTGACGGGCTGCATCACTACTGGCTAAAGGGGTTCGTGGTGTGTCACACTGTGCTCGCCCGACAGTTTCAAGAGGCTCTCAACCAGAAGTCGCTCCCGAGCCTCTTCACTACTGGGATCACTCATTTGGTTCCTAAAGACCAGGGTACCACAGACCCGAGCAAATACCGCCCCATCACGTGTCTACCGACCATATACAAGACACTAACATCCATTTTGAGCGCGAGAATCACTTGTCACCTGGACTCAAATCAGGTGATGTCGCGCGCTCAAAATGGATGTCGGGGGCGGTGGTCGTGGAACCAAGGAACCACTCCTCATTGACGCGGTCATTGGCAAAGTGGTGAAACGCAACCGTCGGAACTTCTCCGCCGCCTGGATAGACTACAGAAAGGCATTCGACTTGGTGCCCCATACATGGCTAAAGAGAGTCCTCGAGCTGTACAAGATAGACTGTACAGTTAGAGACTTCCTCGAGCAGTGTATGGGGCAGTGGAGTACGATCCTTTGTCATCTGGGCGAGCGGATGATGGCTGCGGAGAACCACATAAGGATAAGAAGTGGTATCTTCCAGGGCGATTGTCTGAGTCCAATCTGGTTCTGCCTCTCTCTGAACCCTCTCAGTACCTTACTGGAGGGCTTCGGGAGGGGATTTCAGCTACGGAAAGGAGGGACAAAAGTGACCCACCTTTTCTATATGGATGACCTCAAGTTATTCGCCTCCAGTCGCTCCCATCTTATGGAATTGCTAAACATCACTTGTGAATTTAGCAATTCCATTGGAATGGAGCTGGGGACGGATAAGTGTGCGGTCCTCCATGTTGAAAGGGGAAGGGTTGCTAACTCTGAGGGCGTAGACTTATCTATGCCCGTCAACTTAAGGACCCTTTCCGAGGCTGAAACATACCGATACCTGGGTATGTCACAAAACGTCGGTATCGATGAGACTGGTATGAAACAGTCAGTTTGCGACGTGTTTTATGCACGCTTGACCAAAGTGCTTAACAGCCTTTTGTCCGGTGTGAATAAGGCACACGCATATAACGGCTGGGTCATGCCTGTCCTCATGTATACCTTTGGCATACTCAGGTGGACTCAGACTGAACTTAACGCCCTGGATAGAAAAGTCCGCACTACAATGACGTCCCATAGGATGCATCATCCGAGATCGTCGGTAATGAGGCTGTACTTGCCGCGGAAGCATGGTGGTCGTGGCTTCTTGAGCGCGCTCACCATGCATAATCGCGAAGTGTGCAGCCTCCGTGATTACTTCCTGGCGAGATCGGATGATCCATTCTATAAGGACGTCATTTCTTGTGATAAAGGACTTACCCCTCTATCCTTAGCCAACGAGCAATGGCAAGACCCGGCAGTGCAGAGCATTTCCGACCGGGAGACCGTTATGGAAGGAGAAGGAGCTCCACGGGAGGTTCTACAAGGCTCTACATGAGCCTTTCGTAGACACAGTAGCCTCCCTCCACTGGCTACGCTTTGGTGATCTCTTCGGGGAAACCGAGGGTTTTGTCTGTGCAATACAGGATCAGGTTATTAAGACCAACTACTATCGGAGATACATCCTAAAGGATGGCACCGTCGACATCTGTCGAGCTTGTCGCCACCCCGGTGAGTCACTTAGGCATGTTATCTCCGGTTGTTCGGCGCTTTCTAACTCTGAGTACTTGCACAGGCACAACCTAGTAGCCAGAATTCTACACCAGGAGCTCGCTCTGAAATACGGTCTCGTGGATCGGAAATTGCCGTATTACAAATACTTGCCGGAAGCCGTGCTCGAAAATGATCGCGCCAGGCTCTATTGGGACCGGGCCATCATCACAGACAGGACTATTCTTGCGAATAAGCCTGATATTGTGCTGATGGACCGGGCACAGTCAAGGATATTTTTGGTCGACATTACCATTCCGTATGACGAGAACCTCGTGAAAGCCGAAACAGACAAGCAAACAAAATATCTGGACCTGGCTCACGAGGTGACCGACATGTGGGGTGGTCTGTCGACCGAAATTATTCCTGTAGTCGTCTCTGCAAACGGGCTAATCCCAGTCAGCCTCTCGGGTCATCTGAGGCGGCTGGGACTACGTGGCGGACCGCTCCAGGTTCAAATGCAGAAGGCGGTGCTCCTCGATACCGCCCGCATCGTCCGCCGGTTTCTTTCCCTTTCCCCCTAACCCTCGGCCGTTTGGTCTCCCCTGCCGAGGGCCTCCATCTGGTTGGGCTTTTATTTATTTATGTACTTTTATATTTATTTTATGTTATTGATATTTATGTATATTTGTCTTTTCATTTTCATTTATAATTATATATTTATAGCACCCAACCAGATGAGAAAACTATATAGATACCCCAAAATAATAATATAAGCTCCCTAAACAACCACACATCCTGATTGACCATCGAATCACGTGGGGGGCGGACACACGAATGAGAAATTACTGGCGTGGCTAACGTGGCTCTGGAAACCCATAAATAAAATGGAGACTCGTTCTAAAAGTAAACGTATAGGGCCGCTACCCGGGGGCGATCGCCGGGGTGCACCTGGAGCTGACGCTGGGTGTCACAGCATGCGATCCGTCAGCGGTGAGGAGTTGAACAGGCGGGCTCCCACCCACAACGCTACTACCGCCGAACTCATTGACGCTGGTGACAGACTGACGGACCGGACAGACACCCCTGTAGAACCATATAGTCCAAGCACAGTATCATACACACCCTCGAGGCCAACATCACCATCCATACCATCGTCACCAACACCTCCATCACCCCCTATTACTAGTTTAAATACAGTTCCACCTACTCCGACCTTGAGTGCTGCGCGGGAGGTATCTACCTTCTTACCCGCGTCCACCAAGGCTGGAAAAGCAAGAGTTCGAATGAAATGGAGTAAAGAAGTAAATCTATTTATCATGAGAACTTATCTATACATTACTAAATTAGAGACCGATATGACCACGTACAGACAACAATTACACGCACATTTCACTCGACAATATCCAGAAATTACTGTTTCAGAACAAAGAATCTCAGACCAAAGAAGAACCATAGTTAGGAATAAACTTCTATCCCAAGAAGTTATAGATCAATTAAAAGAAGAAGTACGAACACAATTAATTTAAGAAGAAGCGACTAACAGCTATGTAGAAACTAATATCACACAAAACACAAGTGAAAATGATCGCCAAGTACAACCACAATTGCTCAGTCAATCACAACTCATTTATACACAATCTCAGCCATGCGACCATTCACAAATATCACACACATCCACACAAACCGAAACCGTAATCCTAACGCTATAAAATGATATTGAGACCATAGTTGTCCCAGATCAACACTTATCAATAGATACATATATCCAAGAAATCAATGAGAAATTTAGAACAACAATAACGTTATACTCTGGGATGGATCCCGCAGCGCGACCAAGATTACCTAAACTTAAGTACACACCTAACCTGTTTCGACTGGTTAATTTATTTAATGAAACTATACTCACACAATATATATCTGATGACACACAACTTATAGACATACATTTACTTATATACTGCACAGCGATAGTAATATCCGAAGAATTGAACTTTAAAATCACAGACAATGCAAGAACTACAAGAACAAGACAAAATACAGAACCAGCATGGCAACAGAGACTAGAAAAAGACATTGAAAAATTAAGAGCAAACATAGGTAGACTCACTCAGTATATTAACGGTTGTAGATCTAATAAACTAGTCAAAAAAGTAGAGGTCATATTTAGGAATAATGCTACGCATAACAGACACGAAAAAAGTAACACAAGACCTGAAGAATTTTTAGACACGTTAAAACAAAAATTAGCACTCAAAGTTCATAGGCTCAAAAGGTATAAAAAGCACAACAGCGCAAAAAAGATAACGTCAGATTTGCCACAAACGAAAAATTGTTTTATAGAAACTTACACAAACCACAAACAGACATAATCGATGAACGTAACACACATACACCTAACCTACCTACAAAAGAACAACTAGAAGCATATTGGGCGAGTATTTGGGAAGAGCAAAAACAACATAACGACAAAGCAAATTGGATAATTGAAGATGAAGCAAAATGGAGAGGTATTGACGAAATGGAATTCGAAGAGGTAACAGAGTTAGACATAACACTCATTACAGCTAGGTTACATAATTGGAAATCACCTGGTATAGACAAAATTCATAATTTTTGGTACAAAAAAATTAACGTCTCTACACAAACCTTTAGCAAGAAATTTAACAGATATAATAACAGGACAACAGAACACTCCCGAATTTATTGCAACAGGAATTACTTATATGCTACCTAAAACAAAAAATTCACCTCAGCCTTCCCAATACCGACCAATTACATGCTTACCCACAATTTACAAAATATTGACATCTGCAATCACAAAGAAAATTCAGTCGCACATTGAACACCACAATATAATAGCAGAAGAACAGAAGGGATGTAGACAGGGCCACATGGGATGTAAAGAACAGCTGATAATTGATTCCACTATTCATAAACACGCCACCTCTAAAAATAGAAATTTACATTGCACCTATATTGATTATAAAAAAAGCGTTTGACAGTGTTCCTCATTCATGGTTATTAAAAATATTAGACATTTATAGAATAAACCCGAAAATAATCGATTTCTTACGCCGAATAATGTTATAATGGAAAAGAACACTACAAATAAATTGTAACCAAAATACTGTCACCACGCGACAAATCTCAATCACAAAAGGCATCTACCAAGGTGACTCCCTGAGCCCACTGTGGTTCTGTCTCGCCCTAAACCCTCTGTCTCATTTG